GCTCAGGCTTTCTGGGATTACAAAGTATGATCACATTTGCCTTCAATCCATGTTACACTGACTTAAGCTCCCACATACATAATAACAAAGGCCTCAACCTCCTTCCCAAAAAGTCCTTGGTGATTTCTATTGGCGGTGGGGGGGGGGGGGGTCCCAAAAGGGTTGCCTCAAATATACCCAGAGACATGAGTCAGCTGCTACCAACTAGCCTGCTGCCCACACAGCTCACTGACTCTAGTGCCCATCAGAAGATTTCCAGTGCCTGTGTTATTATCTCCAGATCCTGGATACTCCCCAAACTTCTAATCCTCAAGGTACCAAAGCAGAGCTGGGTTTAATTCTGAGAAGAGAAGAGGAAGAAGTCTTTCTCCCTTGCTTGACAAATATGTTGTCACCAAGCCCTAAAGCAGGTCAGTGTGCCAGTGTTTTAGTTTTGGGGTGTGTGTGTGTGTGTGTGTGCGCGCGCGCGCGCGCGCGTGCGCGTGTGTGTGTGGGTGTGTTTTGAGGCAGTCTCTCTCTGTCACCCAGACTGGAGTGCAGTGGTGCAATCTCAGCTCACTACAACCTCTGCCTCCTGGGTTCAAGCAATTCTCCTGCTTCAGTCTCCCAAATAGCTGGGATTATAGGTGCACACGACCACACCTGGCTAATTTTTTGTATTTTTAGTAGAGATGGGGTTTCACCATGTTGACCAGGCTGGTATTGAACCTCTGACCTCAAGTGATCCACCTGCCCCAGCCTCCTAAGTGCTAGGATTACAGGCATGAGCCATGGTGCCCAGCCAATGCCCAGTATTGTATAACTCTTCTCATGAATAGTTCTTTCCATGTCTGGCCTTCAGTCCTCTAACCACAGGGGTTCAAAACCCATCCAACGGATCAGTGAGGGAACAAAGACTGAAACTTCCTGTCTGTCCTGCTCCAACCAAAGACTCTCTTCTCTAGTTACAAAATGAGAGCTCCTATGTTCCACAACAAAAGCATTTATCAATGGATGCAAGCAGAAACTGGATAGGACATGGGGTGTTAACACTGCCTAAATGGTGTTGGGCCACAATTTAGCAACAACTCAGCAAATCAAAAAATGGTGCTTTGCTCCCAAGTCTCAATGAAAGTGAAAACTGCTAAACATTTCAAGACTGTTCTAATGGCCAATGCCATAGGACTGACAAGTATCACACGGCATTTTTAGTCAATGGAACTCTAACAGAAATGAAGGCGGAAGCACTAGAATCTAACTGGTCTTTATTTGACCTAGCACAAGGTTGAATTCCCACAGGGTTGCATTCACCCCTCCTGTAGTTAGTGGTTCATGTGTCTGTCTCCCTACAGAGCTCCTTGAGAGCAGGGACTGGGTTCACTTGATTTCTTTGAGCCCAGCACCTGGCACAGCATAGAACATACTGAGTAGGAGCTCCGTGTTTGCTGAGCAAGAGAATAAATGAGTGGTGTCCTTTCAAAAAAAGCCTGTCTGTGCTTTCTGCAAGAAATGATATTGAAACCTGGGGATGTTTCTACTGAGCATCCATGTGGCCAAGAGCAGAGGAAATTAAAATACTGGGACAGAGGACCTAAAAACTGAATTTGAGAAAGAAGCCCATTGTCTACACAAATCTCTAGGTCAAAGGTCATATGATAGGTGTCTTCTCCAAAATATGAGGTTACTTGGATTCTTTCTGTTGGCCCTACATGACAACCCACTCCAAAAGCCTCAGGGATGAACAGCGAACACAGAATACAACAGAAGTGAAAGACATTCAGAGTAGTGGATCAAGCTGACTCTGGAGATCACACTGTCTTTTGCCTTCCAGTCACATAAATAAATGAATTTTGTAATTATTTAAGCCAGTTTTAGTTAGGTTTATATTACTTGCAACAGAAAGCTTCCTGATTTATAAATAAGAAAGCATGTATAAAGCAGCAGCACAGTGTCTGTGACATGGTAACAATCTGACAGTGACTCTCAGGGTAACTCTTGGGGTTTTTTCTTGAGACGGAGTTTCACTCTTGTTGCCCAAGCTAGAGTGCAATGGTGTGACCTCGGCTCAGCTCAACCTCCGCTTTCCAGGTTCAAGCGATTCTCCTGCCTCAGCCTCCCAAGTAGCTGTGATCACAGGCATGTGCCACCATGCCTGGCTAATTTTGTATTTTTAGTAGAGACAGGGTTTCTCCATGTTGGTCAGGCTGGTCTCGAACTCCAGACCTCAGGTGATCCACCTGCCTTGGCCTACCAAAGTGCTGGGATTACAGGCATGAGCCACCACGCCTGGCTCTTGGTTTTGTCTTAGAAAAGCCAAGGGGTATCTCTTAAACAATTGATGTCCACAGACTCTCAAGTTATCAAGACAAAATCCACCAGAGATATTACAAACACAGGCAGGGAGAGGATTGTCCAGCACTGTGTCTGTCTTAGAACTCTCCACGTGTCTCCAGAAACATTGACTAATATGTGCTGAGTATCTGCTTTGTACAAAGTCCAGCGCTTACAATGTGGTACGTGTGTTGTGTTTAAAGTAGGGTGTACAATGCAGACGAAGTGATCATGTGAAAATGAAATCAGGGTGACATGCATTCAGCTTCCAAAGCTGCCACTTGTTATCTGTATAATCCTGGGCAAGTTACATAGTATCTCTGAGCTCAGTTTCCTCATCTATAAATGGAGCATGATCATTTTTCACAGGGTGGCAGTAAAGAAATTGGAAAGTAACATATATTAAACACCCAGAGGCCAAGCCCAGTGGCTCACGCCTGTAATCCCAATACTTTAAGAGGTTGAGGCAGGCAGATCACCTGAAGTCAGGAGTTCGAGACTAGCTTGGCCAATGTGGTGAAACCCTGTCTCTACTAAAAATACAAAAATTGGCCACGCATGGTGGCATGAACCTGTAATCCCAGCTACTTGGGAGGCTGAGACAGGAGAATCTCTTGATCCTGGGAGGCGGAGGTTGCAGTGAGCCAAGATCACGCCTCTGCGCTCCAGCCTGGGCAAAAGAGTGAGACTCTGTCTCAAATAAACAAACAAATGAACACTCAGGCCTGCACTGTGGTAGCTCTCCATGGTCCATGGCCACAACTTTGTACAGTTCCAGGGATACAGTTCACATTTGGGGGCACTATTTACATTTCGTGTCCTCTGCAGTTGTGCAACAACTGCCAAGAGCACATTGAGCTCCTTAGACCAACAACCACATGTTGGACATCTTATCTGTCTTCACAGGACCAGCCTTCAGACAGATGCATAACTCTCCCGTCTGTACCTTCACCACTGTTGTGGTGCCTCAGCTATAAAAATGCTCTCCTAATGCATCCTGCTGGTCTTTCATCTGAGGTTGTTAGGTTGCTCTCTCCTTTCTTGGTGATGCCCCTGGGTACTCTTTGCCTAAAATATTTCTACCCTTTTGTCTTAATAATTTAGGCTTCTATCACAAATTACCACAGACTGACGGGTTTCAGCAACAAAAATTTCTTTCTCGTGGTTCTTGAGGTTGGGAAGCCTGAGAGCAGGTGCCAGCATTGTTGGGTTCTGGTGAGGGCCCACTTCCTGGTTCAATGATGGCCAATTTCTCATTGTGTACTCACATGGTGGAGAGTGGAGAAAAGAAGCAAATTCTCTCCTTAAACAGACACGAATCCCATTCATGAGGGCTCTACCCTCACATCTAATTACCTACCAAAGGTGCCATCTCCAAATATCACCACAATGGAGATTAGGATTTCAACATATAAATTTGGGAGGAACAAATATTCAGTCCATAGCACCCTTCCTAAAGGTTCACTTCAGTATCGCCACCTGCTTTTCCAGTTGCCCCAGGCTGGGTGAGGACCTCCACTCAGGTTGAGCATCAGACCTGAGCTTTTTTTTTATTTTTTACCAACACATTCACCATAAGGTACTGTCATGGTGTTTGTTTGTCTGACTCTCCAACCAGGCCCCCAGGGTGAGCCTCCAGGGTGGGGCAGAAATCAAGAACTGTTCTTCCTAGAGTCCTCTCTGTGTAATGTCTAGCACAAGGACTGGCATATAAGAGTCTTCAATAAATATTTATTGTTGAGCATGGTGGCTCACACCTGTAATCCCAGCACTTTGGGAGGCCGAGGTGGGAGGATCACTTGAGCCCAGGAGGTTGAGGCTGCAGTGAGCTCTGATCGTGCAACTGTACTCCATTCTGGGTGACAGAGCAAGACCCTGTCTAAAAATAAATAAATAATAATATTGATTGGTTGACTGATTGAATGAATGGTTGAAGCTTCTTAACCTCCTGGATGCAGGTGACTCTCACATCCATTGCTGTTCTTCTGTCCCTTCTTATAGCTTATCATCTGATCCTTGTACCTATGACTAAGCCCTAAGAAACCTCCAAGTCAAACATCAGCCAGGATCAGGTTTGATAGTTGGGCTATCTACTGAGGATATTGCAGAATAAATAAATAAACAAATACCATGCAGAACAAGTAGAATACTAAACAAAGGACAAAATATTTGAAGGGTTTTTTGTTGTTGTTGTTGTTGTTTTTTGGTGAAAATTAGAATGCAGAATGCAGTAATGACTGATTCTTTCTTGACATGCCATTCCTTCATCTTCTCAAGCTAGCCCCTGTAGTACTGGCAACTCAACGACCTCCCTGGTAATTCATTATGCTCTACAACTAAACTCTATCTATTCTCAACATATTATATGATTCAACTGCCAATAAGGCTGACAGCTGAAATTCTTAGCGCTAGCCAGGTGCAATTAACCAACTGATACACTTGAAATGGATTATACACCTCCATTCACTACTTAATAAAGTATTAAACCAGTTATAAATGTAAGATTATTTTACCAATTGTTTCTCGACAGGGATTTTTACCTGACGACAGCAATATGATGTTCCTCTTTGACAGATAAGACAGGACATCATCTTCTCCAAGGTCTATAGATTCAGGGAGAAATGAGAGCGACTTTCCTGATAAAAGATTTAAAACAAACAGAAAAAGAAAAATGCACCAGAGCAAAGCAGTAAGGAATTATAAACTAACTTTAATTACATCAATAGGAAGAATTTCAAACTATGTTGAGAATTCTTACTTGAAAGTTTAAATCTAATTAATATATTCTGACTAACATAATCATCCAAAGATAAAAGCATTTATGATAGCAAATGGACAGAACAATCATTTAGGTAGCATCTAGGAATATTGCTACAATACCTTTACATAAATAAAAACCCATGTCTTCGTTAGTAATGTGGCACACATCTTAGAGTAAAAATTTACATAAGACAGGCTTATAAATATACATAAATCTCAAAATCAATCACAATCAAACATTAGGTACACAATTGTTATAAAACAAATATACCCTATCAATGTCTATGTAAAGGCATAGTTTTTACAAAATAGTATTTTGTAGGCAGTCTCAAAAAAGTATATTAATACTCCTGGAGTCAGATTGTTCCAGCGTATCAGCATGTCTGTGGGAATAAGGCATCCGGAGAAGCTGCATTCACTCTTCCACGTGGCCAGGGCCTTCTATGTGCTGAAACAGGTAGGACTCTCATGACCTGGGTGAATGTCACACCCACTGCAGCATCCCATTACCTTAGAGAATCGATCACTCTCCAGAAGAATCCAACTGAATGGCTATCAGCCTAATAGCAAATATCCAGGGGAAAACTGAACACATTAATCAAGCAGCAGTATAGTTTATGTTAAAAATCCCAAATAGCTTGATGATTCCATTGAATTTTGAGTTATCAGACATACTTAAAATCACAATAGCACGGCCACTATTTTTATGAAGAGGAACTTATATGCAAGTCTTTTATTAAATATAAAAACAAAGAAGTCTAACTTGAAATTAAATAACTGGATAACTGAATAAGTGAATAAGGAACCTAATTAAATACAAAACCTGTATAGGTTGCATCAACATGCCAGTTACTCAGCTAATACTAGTCTTGGTTTCTTAACTAACAGCATAGAAAAGTTACATTCAACAGTGGTACTTTATATATTCTTAACAATTCATATATTGTTGAATGGAGGAGATAAGCCTTAGTAAAAGATCCAGGAATACTTTCTACAAACTACATTACTATATACTCAAGCATAGTTTTGCCTGTAATATGCATAACGTTTTATCTCTTGGGTTTTAAAGTAGGCAAGAGATCAGAAACAGAAACAACCTTGGCAAAGACCTTCAAATGCTCATGGTGTGTATATACAGGCATTTATGTATAAACACACACCATCATGTATGTACAAATATACAGATGCTCCTCAGTTCACAATAGGGTTATGTCTCAGTAAAACCATCAATTGTAAGTTGAAAATATCACAAGTCAAAACACTTATGGGACATAACCCCATTGTAAGTTGTGGGAGTATACCAAATGTATATCACTTTCATATCATCATAAATTTGAAAACTCTTAAGTTGACCCATCCAAAGTCATGGATTATCTGTGTATATAAACAAAAGGAGAACCATCTAACTGTTTGCTAAACATAACCAATTTTGTTTAGAGAACAAGGACATACACCACAGCAAAGTAGACACATCCCAGCCTTTGGCCTAGTGCCGCGGTTCTCAAACATTTTTCCATTATGGTACATAAGGTAGATGCCACATCACATGTGTTAAACACTCCCATGGTGCAGGAGATTTTGATACGACTTTTAAAATATCTATAGATTAATGCATTACTCTGAAACACTGAAATCCTTACTGGGAAGAGCAGTTCAGTAGTAAATGTCCACGATCAGCACACTGAAGTAGGACAAAAGTGCTGCTTAGCCAGCTCAGTACTTTACTGCCACCACTTTTGCATCCATTCCAGAAAATATATTAGAATGCAGGAGCATGAGAATGCCCTATGCCATTTATTTATAAAAATAAATCAACAATAATTTATTTTAAAAACAAATTATTCACTAACTTTGGTATTCTTACAACTAACCAGTAATACATTGCGGGCAGTATCCTTTATAACAAATCTTGATATACTGGTGTGTCCCTATCCAAGAACAAGGGTGGGAAACCACAGTCCATAAGCAAACCCAGCCTGCTTCCTGTTTTTATGCAGCATGCAAGCTAAGAGTGGTCTTTGGATTTTTCAATGGCTTTTTGAAAAAAATCAAAAGGAAAATACTTGTGACATTTGAAAAGTATATGAAATTCAAAGTTCAGTGTCAATTAAGGTTTATTGGAATACAGCCATGCTCATTCATTTATGTATTGTCTATAGCAGAGCCAAACAGAGACTGAAAAGCCAAAAAACTACTATCTGGCCCTTAACAGAGAAAGTTTGCTGACCCCTGGACTAGAGCGAAGAATGACATACAACTTCAGTGATCACGTCTCTTATGCACAAAATCCTGAATACAGACAGTAAACTTAATTCCAGAAATAGTGGTAAATACCATCTAGGATGGAAATCCATTCCTGAATTGTCCAAACTTTCTGGTATCTTTAATGACAAAAGCCAACTTAATTAAATACAGCTTCTGCATTTTATCTGAAATCATGTTTATAAATTCACTTTTGACTACAGCGGAGCAATAAAAAAGCACTGGGCTCCAAGTTAGAAGATCTAGGTTTTAGGCAATTTACTTTTAAATTGTTAAATTCTTAAAAATATATTTAAGTCTTTTTTGATCTGTGTATTAAACCTATTAAAAGAACTAAGCTAACTGGTAAAATAATCGAAATGCTTTTAAGCAGAGAAGAAAGTTAACATAAAGTAAAACATGCTCCTCTCCCCCAAATATAACTATAAAAAGTCCTCTAATTAATTGTAAATTACTAAACAGGGGGAAAAAGGCACCTAGCTAATTGGAGTGCGGATAGTGGGTTCCATTCAGTAAAAGTTTTAATGGATGTGCATGAAGGTGCATGAATGTATAGGAAATCATATCACCTCCCTAGGCTTCAGCTGCACCCCTGTAAAATAAAAGCATTGGATTAAATGGTCTCTAAAGTCCTGGCCAGCACTGGCAATTTATGTCAAATGACCAGCCTCAGTTTTTTCATCTGTAAAGTTGGATAAATAATAGAATCTACTTTCTATGGTTGCGCTGAGGATTAAATGTGTTAATTCGTGTAAAGTGCTTAGAACAGCACTAAATACGTTTCACTAGCATTATTATTACTTAGGTACTTTACAAAGAACACTGGTTGGGCATGTCCTCTGTGACAAGTAGTATATTAGAAAATGGGAATGCAGACATAAAATAGAAGATAATGGTCAAAGGCCATTCTGTATCACTGGTGTGAATTCTTATTTCTGAACATTGATTATTGTTAGTACTGTTACTAAGGACGTTTCTATTTATGTTTCAAAAAACAAAGTTCAGTGGTTGCTAACTTAATTATTTATGGTTTGAGCACAGGAGGAAGAATATAAAAACTTTGGCCAGTCTTGTAATATAGATGAAATGCAAGCCTTCTGAAACAAACAAACTTGCCATAAAAGTATAGTTTCTCATATGTATTAATTCTACAAATGTTCACTGAGTACATGCTATGAAGAAACATCTGCTACAATGATGAGTAATGTGTCTGCATTAGGGAGATAACAAGGAGGACAAGCCAACAATTCTAGAAAAGTATGATATGTTGATAAGGAAGCCCAATGTGCCATGGGAGCATTTAACAGGAACCTAGACCTATGTATGTAGTCCAGGGATTTAGAGGAAAGAATATATTTTTTTTTCTTTTTGAGATGGAGTTTCGTTCTTGTTACCCAGGCTGGAGTGCAATGGCGTGATCTCGGCTCATTGCAACCTCCGCCTCCTGGTTTCAAGCAATTCTCCTGCCTCAGCCTCCTGAGTAGCTGGGATTACAGGCACGCGCCACCATGCCCATATAATTTTTTGTATTTTTAGTAAAGACGGGGTTTCACCATGTTGACCAGGGGATGGTCTCGATCTGTTGACCTCGTGATCCACCCACCTCGGCCTCCCAAAGTGCTGGGATTACAGGTAGAGAAAAGAATATTTAAGCTGTGACCTGAGAGGTCAGTAGGAGTTCATCAAGCACAAGAGGTGGAGAATGTTTGAACACGGGGAACAAAATGAGAAGTGAGATAGAGCAGATCTGAAGAACTTAGAGCCTTTCAGTCTTGCTGAGACATATCAAGTGAGGAGGAGTGGCAAAAGATGATACTGCAGGTCACAGAACTGTCTTGCATTTTACCTTAATGGCACTGAGAAGTCATTGAAAGTTCTAAGCATAAAAATGCAAAAACCGGTAATCAAATTAGAAACCATTAGTGAAATAATTAGCTTGATGAGAAATGTAAGCGGAAGGAAGCTGCATTCACTTCTTCCTTCCCTGCTTGCTACTAAGCTGGAGTCCCTCTTTTGCTTTAACTTATTTATAGCTCAAATACTATACACAGAGTGAAATATAAAAATATTTGCTTCTTATTTACAACGTGGATGCCTTCATATCGGTATCTTTGCTACTAAACAGCCACTAGAACTGAGAAGACACTACACAGGCCAGACTTAGCCATGACCAGAGTGGAGTCAAGGACTCGAACTAGGGTACTTGAGTTTAAATCCTACCCACTTCCATTACATACTTGATGTCAGTTCTCCTCTAAATGTCAATTTCTCCCCATCTGTAGTGAATAGTATTTCTCCTACATCCCTTGGAAGCATTTGGTAACTGTGTTTATTGATGTTTTCCTTATTTTGGTTCAGATCCAGAAGAACTTGAAAGCTCTCCCCACAAGGGGACTTTCACCTGTGACATGAATCTGGAGGGCGGTATTAGAAATCACAATCGCCAGTGTTGTTCAGTCACAAGCCTACGAAGTTGAAACCAGCTTTAAAGCAACAAGGGCAAGCCAGAGAACTCCAGAATGCCACAGTGGAAATGTCTCAGCAGCACTAACTATACCTGCAGACTTCTCTCCTCAAAATGGGCTGTTAGCACAGACATTTGGAACCTTTAGAAAAAAGCATTATGTCAAGGCATTATTATGAATTATGCTGACTGCCTGTCTAGTTTATAAGTCTGAACATTTTATTTTATTTATCTTTTTGAGACAGGGTCCTTCTGTCACCCAGGCTGGAGTGCAAATGGCACAATCTCAGCTCACTGCAACTTCAGCCTCCCGGGTTCAAGCAATTCTCGTGCCTCAGCCTCCCAAGTAGCTGGGATTACAGGCGTGTGCCACCATGCCTGGCTAATTTTTGTATTTTTAGTAGAGACAAGGTTTTGCCATGTTGGCCAGGCTGGTCTTGAACTCCTGGCCTCAAGTGATCCACCTGGTTGGTCTCCCAAATTGCTGGCATTACAGGCATGAGCCACCATGCTCAGCCATAAGTCTGAACATTTTAAATGGATACTCTAGGTTAATTCACTTTATGGGTCATTTTCCCATTTCCAAATAAAAAAAAAGCCACCTCATTAAAAAAAAATTCTACTCCAAATCTCTACAGTCTCAAAAAGTGTTGATTATCAAAATGCCCTAAATGTTTAATAAGATGTTTTGTCTGATATAATACATTTTTAGGCTGGGTGCGGTGGCTCACGCCTGTAATCCCAGCACTTTGGGAGGCCAAGGCAGGTGATTACCTGAGGTCCGGAGCTCGAGACCAGTCTGACTAACATGGTAAAACTCTGTCTCTACTAAAAATACAAAAAATTTAGCCAGGCATAGTGGCACATCCCTGTAATCCCAGCTACTCAGAAGACTGAGGCAGGAGAATCACTTGAACCTGGGAGGTGGAGGTTGCAATGAGCTGAGATCATGCCATTCATTGTACTCCAGCCTGGCAAAAAGAGCGAAAATTTGTCTAAAAAAAAAATTCATTTTAATCATAATGTATGCTGACTCTGACAAGATAATTCACTGTAACAATAGAGTAATACTTCAGTTTTATAAAATTCAGTGCTAGAAGAGTTCAAATTCTAACTGCTAAGAATTCCCATTTTTTAAAATATCATTAATACAACTTTACATCTTCAGGACTGCGCACAGTTCAGTCTCTAACCTTTCCAAATAGCAGTGCAAATGTTTTCTCCTAGTTACTCTCTAACTGAGAAGAAATTTCAAATAAATATTATTTGATTGGAGACAGAGTCTGGCTCTGTCACCCAGGGCTGGATTGCAGTGGCACAATCTCGGCTCATTGCAACCTCTGCCTCCCAGGTTCCAGAGATTCTCCTGCCTCAGTCTCCCGAGTAGCTGGGATTACAGGCATGCACCACCATGCCTGAATAATTTTTGTACTTTTTAGTGGGGATGGGGTTTCACCATATTGGCCAGGCTGGTCTCGAACTTCTGACCTCAGGTGATCCACCCATCTCAACCTCCCAAAGTGCTGGGATTACAGGTGTGAGCCACCATGCTTGGCCGAAATTTCAAATAAATATAAACTATTTTCATATCATGGTATTTTCATCTAATCTCCCCATTGGCTGTGTAAATATCCAAAAGCACTTCTGCTTTACGAAAATTTGAAAGTTCTTCTGCCAAAAAGGCTGACTGTGAACTTACGACATTCAGTAAAATTCTCCCTAGTGATACTCAAAATAACTCTCTTGTGCTATACCACTCACAGTAAAGAAAGACCGTTCCGAGACATGATGTCTATACATAGTTCTTTCTCTGCCTTTCTATTTGTTATTTCCAGCCAAAGCTACATGGTATGTGGATCATAAAAAGGCAGCCTTTCTGGGTCTCAAATCCCATTCAGGAAGATGGCAATCATAATTTTCATCAATCGAACTCAGAGATGTTGTAAAGTTAAATTATTTGAAAATACTTAGAAAAGATGTAAGTACATTCCAAAAGTATAAGGTCATTGTTAAACAATCCTCTTTGACTAGAAAAGAAGCTTATTCTTTCTTCCAAAAAGCTGAAATCATATGAGGTTTTTTTTTCCTCTCAAATAATTGAAGCTAAAATAATACTGGATATTCTTTAAAAATATATTTATACTAAAGACTTCCCAATCCATATAATCAGTTGGCCCTGTAGCTGTGGTTACGGGGTTCCCATCAATAGGTAGAATGTCAGAGCAACTATCAGAAGCAAACAAAATGGAGATGAGAAGGTTTGATAGGCAGCTGATGGCATAAAAATGTCTTCATACTTGTAAATACTGACAACACGCTCCGAAGCCGGCGGTGAGTCTATATCATGTCGAGTGATAGAGCCTTTAAGAAAAAAAGAGAACGGCAGGGAGCAGTTGAAAAAAGGACAGATTTATAATGGTATAGGCAAACAATAGAAAAATCAAAAGTCTATTTAGTGTTGAACACATAAGCAATGGTTAAAAAGATCTGGATTCAGGTATTTGAGTTATCAGCATTCTCTGTCATTGTCCATCTAATGAACACAGAAATTAGTTAAATTTATCCAAAAAGACTAGTTCTCATTAATTTGCACTCCCCTATCAGAACAATGCTGTTGGTCTGTTTCCTGGCAACTCAATTTTAAGACTGCTGGTTATATAATATTGTATGATTATTGTTTGATTGCCTCTTTTAAACTGCTATAATGAGTTGTCTTATTAATACCCAAATGAGAAAACTATATTTTTATTTCAAACAGCAGAGACTACTAACTTTTCTCCCTCAAATCCATCTTGCATATATGGATCATCAACAACTCCTGACAACACTATTAAAATCTCCCTTACAGATGGAAGCCCTCTTCTACCATCTGTGGGACATTTACTACCCTCCCCCTGGCCATGCCAGAGGGAGTGTGGTATGCTGGATGTGTGTCTGTGCGTCTGGCTGATTAGGGTAGAATGGTACAGAAAGCAGGATGATTAAGGTACCAGACAAGTCTTTGGCTGGGAAACTTTTTAAAAACTTGGTTACACATGGAAAGAAGTATAGACTGTGTGTAAAATATATTTAATAAGCTTCAGTTGATTAAAAGTGTCTGACCTTCTGAATAATCCACATGAAACTTGGGTTAGGGAGACTAAGGCATAAGCATTCAGTGCAAAAGTCTCCTTAGAAATAGAGCTCAGAGTGAGGTTTTCGAGGTACTATCTGCTAGGGAAGCCCTGCCAAACTTAACATCTCAGGTCTCTGCTTAGTGTCCATGCTGGCCTCAGTTAGCAAAAATCAAACTCTCCAGTTTGTATAACTGTAGTCTCAGCTACTTGGGAGGCTGAGTTGGAAGGATCACTTAAACCTGGGAGGTGGAGGCTGCAGTGAGCTGTGATTGTTCCTCTGCACTCCAGACTGGGTAACAGAGAAGACTTTTCTCTCAACAGATTCCACGTACCTCTCCTACCTAACCTCAGCTCACCGGTCACCTGCACTGGCTGCTTGACTTAACTATGTGTCTACAGTTCATGCCTTCCTTTAGTGAAATCTGACCCCATACCCCTTTCAAGCCTTAGTTCAAAGTTTTTCCCCTGACAGAGACCTTGGGAGAATGCATAGGATATAATCAATAAAGAGGCATTAGAAGGGCACTCAGGAAACGAGAAAAGCACAAGACTACATATAGTGTAGCAATGTGCCTGTTTTGCTTAGAGGTAGTAAGAAGAACAGAAGTCTGGAGACAGCTTATCAGGTGAGGCAGGACCAGATTTGGAGAAGGCTTTGAATTGAGGCTAGTCTGCCATATGTGTAAAAAGATGACCTTCTGAAAATACAGCCCTTTCCAATTGGTAAAGCAATTTCAAATACTTTTCACTTAATCCTTACAACAACTCCATGGAATAGGAAGTATTATTATCCCCATTTTAGATATAAGGAAATGAAATTCAGAATTTAAATAACAGGCTAAATATCATATCGCTTCCAAGGGGCAGAACCAGTACTCAAACTCAAAGTTTTAGACTTCAAATCTATTTTAGATGACGGCTTTTCTCCATGCTGAGATATCATTTATTTCCCAGGGTACTAAAAGTAATTGAAGTTATAACTGCAGAGCCACTGTTGGTATCTGGGAAATTAACAAATGGAAAAGGTGTCACTAATCTAGAGGCATCCAAGTGTCTTCCCAATTGGCAACAGGCAAAATAAAAGGCAGATTATGTCATCTCTGGGGTGATTGGTAGAAACAAATTGAAGGAAAAAAACACAACCAGGGCCTGGCATGGTGGCTCACGCCTGTAATTCCAGCACTTTGGGAGGTCCAGGCAGGCGGATCACCTGAGGTCAGGAGTTTGAGACCAGCCTGCCCAACATGGTGAAACCCCTTCTCTACCAAAAATACAAAAATTAGACAGACATGGTAGCAGGCGCCTGTAATCTCCCAGCTACTCGGGAGGCTGAGACAGGAGAATCATTTGAACCCAAGAAGTGGAGCTTACAGTGAATTCAGATTGTGCCACTGCACTCCAGCCTGGGTGACAGAGCAAGACTTCATCTCAAAAAACAAAAAAACATAACCAGAACAGATCAGGCAACAAATAGTTGATGAGCACACAGTAAAGAAAGATGCAATTCCCAGGAACCAGAATGAGTCCTCAGTGCGAGGACTGCAAGCCAACTCACTTCCATTCTTGATCAAACCTTTAGGCTAATCAACCAGAAGGCATGCTCAAGACTAATGTAACTTGATGTTAGCAATCTCTTAAAGGTCTCATGATATCCTTGGGTCTTTGTTGGGGAAATGCTGCTGAGTCTTGCCACCCAAAATGAGGTCATCAATGAACCAGCATGACCAGGTTGCTTATTAGAAATGCAGAATCTTGCCAGGCATGGTGGCTCACACTTGTAATCCCAGCACTCAGGGAGGCCAAAGATGGTGGATCACTTGAGCTCAGGAGTTCAAGACCAGCCTGGGCAATATGGTGAAACCTCATCTATACTAAAAATACAAAAAAATTAGTCAGGCATGGTGGCACATGCCTGTAGTCCCAGCCACTTGGGGGGCTAAGGTAGGAGAATCACTTAAATCTGGGAAGTGGAGGCTGCAGTGAGCTGTGATTGTGTCACTGCACTCCAGCCTGGGCGACAGAGTAGGACCCTGTCAGGGAAGGGGAGGGAAGGGCAGAGGAGCAGAATCTCAGGCCCCTAACCCAGAGCTACAGAAAACTCCACTTTAACAATATAGCCAGGTAATTCCTATGCACATAAATATTTAAGGAGTAATGGGTTAAACTACAGGATAATTTGGCAGATTTGTGACTAACAGAATAGTCACGAAGTGGGCATTAATGAAATGTTTAGTGTCAATTTCTGGAGAAGTCTCCAGAAGCCCTTCCTGTTCAGTATGTTTTATTATTTCTTTCTTTTTTGAATGGAGACAGGGTCTCACTATGGTGCCCAGGCTGGTCTTAAACTCCTGGGCTCTAACCATCCTCCCAAAGTGCTGGGATTACAGGCATGAGCCACCACGTCCAGCCCCTGTTCAGTCTTTTTATATTCACAGCATAGGAGGTAAGAGGATTCACTGGCTTTGGGGTCAGACAGACTAAGGATTGAATTTGAATTCTTCTATTAATTAGTTGTATAGCTTTGAGCAAGTTTCTTAATCTCTCTAAAACCAGGACAATAATACCTATACCTCTCAAGAACATGGTGAGGAGTCAATGAGAATGCTGTGATAATTGAATAAAGCCCTACATACAGCAGATACATGATCTGTTTCATTAAGCACATTACTCATGACATACTGTCTTGTACTGCTCTAGCTTTGCATGTGTATAACTGTTCATTTGTTTGTCCATATGTATAATAAGTCCATTATAACCTTCTGAAGGTAGGAGTCACATCTTCTTTTCCTTTAAATTATCCAGAGTGCTTATCGCTCTCTTGTGCACACAGTGTGACTTCAATTAATAATGAACACAAGCACAGTGGTGTCTGGTGTTTAATCCAGATGCTAAAATGTAAGCTTACCCTGAATGGCTGGACCCCAAGCAAACAGATAATACCAACTCAAATGCAGATCAACAATTGTTTCATCTCTGGGAACATTCACAGGGCGTTTAAATCTGCAGGTGACGCGATTATTCTCAAAAACTCCTTCTTCATCTCTGGCAGGGTTTCTCTGAATCTCCTTTGCCCACTGGCCTACATTATAGAAGTGCTGTATGCGGACCCTGCCATTGTCATCATGGACGCAGGCCATGACATCATCACCACCCTAACATGAGAAATGATTAAGAAAAAAAAGTCAAAGGTTCATCTTTTGCACACTGGTCACTAGAAATATACATTCCATCACCTCTGCAATTTGAAATCCCACCAAAAAAAAATTCTCTTAAGTGCAATTAAAAAGTCTCAACCAAGAGACTGAAGTTACCATCACAATAACTGACATTCAATGCCTCCTGAGTGATGTTTGGAGAAGACATCACCACCTATGTAGTCTTCCTGCCCAAAACACAAACTAACCTAATCATGAGAAAATAAACTCAAACTGAAGGTCATTCCACACACAAAAAAAAACTAGGCCAGGCATGGTGGCTCACACCTGTAATCCCAGGACTTTGGGAGGCAGAGGTGGGCAGATCACGAGGTCAGGAGATGAAGACCATTTTGGCCAACATGGTGAAACCCCATTTCTGCTAAAAATACGAAAATGAACCAAGCATGGTGGCGGGTGCCGGTAGTCCCAGTTACTCGGGAGGCTGAGGCAGAAGAATGGCTTGAACCTGTGAGGCGGAGGTTGCAATGAGCTGAGATCACGCCACTGCACTCCAGCCTGGTGACAGAGACTCCATCTCAAAAAAATAAAAAAAAACCCTAGCCTATAATCTTCAAGAAGTCAATGTCATGAAAGACCAAAAAATGAAAAGAAAAATCTAAGAAACTACTTCAAAATATACACGAGAATAAAATGCAGTTCTAAATGTTCCGACACAGAAATTTGGGCCATAAACCCAAAATTTCCCTAAAGGACAGTATTGAGAAAAGTAGCAACATATGAAAACAAACAATATATTTAATAATACTATCATATCTATGCTAAACTTCCTGAATTTAATAAACTATATAATAAAAGAGAATATTCTTGATCTTAGGAGATACCTACTTAAGTATTTAGGATTGAAGGATTATGACATTTGTGATTTAAATGCCAAAGTTTCAGAAAATAATAATAATAATCAGTTGTAGTAGCAGTAGCAACAGTAGTAGAGAGAATAAAGCATGTGTGGCTGATGTCATTATTTATAAAAATGTTCTGGAACTAGGGAGTCGTGAAGGTGGCACAACATTGAATGAATTGACACTTTAAAATAGTAAATTTTGGTGTCACTGCACTCCAGCCTGGATGACAAAGTAAAACCCTGTTTCAAAAAACAAAACCAAAACAAAATAAAACTGTCAATTCTGGCCAGGTGTGGTGACTGACGCCTGTAATCCCAACAGTTTGGGACGTCAAGACAGGAGGATGATTTGAGCCCAGGAGTTTGAGACCAGTCTGGGCAATACAGTGAGACCTTGTCTCTACAAAAAACTTTTAAAAATTAGCTGGAAATGGGGGCTCATGCCTGTAGTCCTAACTACTTGGGAGGCTGAGGTGGGAGGATCGTTTGAGCTGGGGAGGTTGAGGCTGCAGTGAGTCTTGTTTGTGCCACTGCACTAGAGCTTGGACAACAGAGGGAGATGCTGCCTCAAAAAAAAAAAATACATACACAACAACAACAAAATAAAATGGCTGATTCTGTTATGTGCATTTTACCACAATAAAAAGTTATCATTTTGTTAATCTAGATTTTCTATATATGAGTTTACTGTACTATCCTGCTTGTCTGTAGGTTTATACTTTTTTCAAATCAAGGTCAAAAAGTTAAAAGTATTTGGTTGGGCTTAGTGGCTCATGCCTATAATCCCAGCACTGTAGAAAGCGGGCAGATCACTTGAGGTCAGGAGTTCAAGACTAGCCTGGCCAACATGGTGAAACCCCATCTCTACTAAAAATACAAAAATTAGCCAGGTGTGGTAGGACGTGCCTGTAATCCCTGCTACTCAGGCAGCTGAGGCAGGAGAATCCCTTGAACCCAGGAGGCAGAGGCTGCAGTGAGCCAGTGAACTCCATCCTGGACAATAGAGTGAGTGAGACTCCATCTCAAAAAAAAACGAAATGTTACAATAAAAAAGTGTTCATTAGTTGTAACACACGTACCACCCTGCACAGGATGGTGATAATGGGGGAGGCTCCCCAGGGGATATATGGGCACTCTATAACTTCTGTTCCATTTCACTGGGAACCTAAAACTGCTGCAAAAAGTAAAGTCTAATTAAAACACACACACACACACACACACACACACACACACACACACACGTACCCTTTTTTTTTTTACAGACAAAGTCTCACTCTGTCACCCAGGCTGCAGTGCAGTGGTGCGATCTTGGCTCACTGCAACCTCTGCCTCCTGGGTTGAAGGAATTCTTCGCCTCAGCCTCCTCAGTAGTTGGGACTACAGGCACCTGCCACCACGCCTGGCTAATTTTTGTATTTTTAGTAGAGACAGGGATTCACCACATTGGCCAAGCTGCTTTCAAACTCCTGACCTCAGGTGATCTGCCTGCCTCGGCCTCCCAAAGTGCTGGGATGACAGGTGCGAGCCACTGCACCCGGCCAATAATGTACCATTTTTTAAAAGTTAAAGGCTATTAAAAAGGGGTTCCATTTTGTTTTTCTTATACATCACGTTTTTGAAAATCATCTGTGCTTCTTCTTGGAATAATACAAGAAAAAAAGAGACTTTTACTTTCACAGATAATATGACAATAGATACTTTATAGGCCTTAGATAGCAGAATATCAAATATAAAATTTGAATGCTCCTCACTCTGTCTCACTCCTCTAATCTTAACAGCCCCACCCTGAGTGCAAATGCATTTAGGACTGGAAGTGGTCACTTTCAATGCAAGGCAGCTTCTGGGTGTGGCACGCCCTGCTGTTTCTCCTACTGCCTCTACAGCAGGAAATAAGTAGACTCTTATCTATCCATGCACTCTTACCAGTTGTACCCATTAGCCTGGGACACATTGAAGGCTATTCTCCTGGTGACCTCTCCAAGAATAAAGCCACCAGAGCCGCCACTGCTTAGACTGCTTCCCAGTGTTTTCCTATGACTCACCTACGACCCATATCTAATCCACTAGCAAATCCTATCAGTGCTCCTTCCTTCCTTCCTGCCTGCCTGCCTGCCTGCCTCCCTCCCTCCCTTCCTTCCTTCCCCCCTCCCTTCCTTCCTTCCTCCCTCCCTTCCTTTCTTCCTTTCTCTCTCTCTCTCTCTTTCTTCTTTCCTTTTTTGAGATGGAGTCTTGCTGTGTTGCCCAGGGTGGACTGCAATGGCATGATGTCAGCTCACAGCAACCTCCACCCCCTGAGTTCATGCAATCCTCTGCCTCAGCCTCCTGAGTAGCTGGGATCACAGGTGCCTGCCACCACACCCGGCTAAGTTTTGTATTTTTAGTAGATACAGGGTTTCACCATGTTGGCCAGACTGGTCTTGAACTCCCGACCTCAAGCGATCCATCTGCCTCAGCCTCCCAAAGTGCTGGGAATACAGCTGTGAGCCACTGCGCCCAGCCAGTTAGTGCTACTTTCAAACTATCCAAAATCTGAGCCCTTCTCAACATTGTCACTGCTGGAACTTTGGTCTGAGCCACCCTCCTCTCTGCCCGGTAGCCCTGCACAAGCCTCAAAATAGGCCAAGTGAAGAGACAGGGTGGGATGCTCTAGGCAGAAACAACAGCAAGTGCAAAGACACAGAGGCCTGAGAAAGTCTGGCAGTTTGGGACCAAGTCCGGCCCACTGAAGTGGCAAGGAATGAGGCTCCAGAGGAAAGAGAAAAATGCAGCAAGGCACAGGGGAGAGCAGGGGCCAGAGATGACGCTGTCTGCGAGCCTGAGTCCCTGCCTGTCCCTGGCCACAGTCCTGTCTGAGGTCCAGAGGTTTTCTTGCCCCTGGGTACAGAGGAAGACAAGACTGTTGAACCAAATTCTTCACTTGCCTGATGTAATCTATCATACCTATTATAATGAAGCCTCCATAAAAATTCAAAAGGAGGCCAGGCACGGAAGTGCCTATAATCCCAGCACTTTGGGAGGCCGAGGCGGGCAGATTGCTTGAGGCCAGGAGTTCGAGACCAGCCTGGCCAACATTGCGAAACCCCATCTCTGCTAAAATGACAAAAATTAGCTGGGTGGGGTGGAACACGCCTGTAATCCCAGTTATGTCAGGAGGCTGACGCAGGAGAATTGCTTAAACCCAGGAAGTGGAGGCTGCAGTAAGCTGAGATCGCGCCACTGCACTCCAGCCTGGGCAACAGAGTAAGACACCGTCTAAAAAAAACAAAAACAATCCTGAAAGGACAGGGTTCGAACAGGTGGAGGTGCCTGAAGGGTAGTGCACCCAGACGGGGCAGTGAAGCTCCTCACTCCTTCCTACACGCCTTTCCCTAAGTGTTTCTTCCATCTAACTATTCTTTATCCTTTGTGATAGCCTTTATAATAAATGAATAAAGTACGCCAGTTGCGGTGGCTCCTGCCTGTAATCCCAGTACTTTGGGAGGCCGAGGTGGGTGGATCACCTGAGGTCAGGAGTTTGAGATCAGCCTGGCCAACACAGTAAAACCCCATCTTTATTAAAAATACAAAAATTAGCTGGGTGTGGTGGAAGGTGCCTGTAATCCCAGCTACTCCAGAGGCTGAGGCAGGAAAATCGCTTGAACCGGGGAGGCAGAGGTTGCAGTGAGCTGAGAGCACACCACTGCACCCCAGCCTGGGTGACAAGAGTGAGACTCTGCCTCCATAAAGAAATAAATAAATGAGTAAAGTGTTTGAGTTCTGTGAGCTGCTCCAGGAAATTAACTGAACATGAGGAGGTGGTAGCACCCCAGACTTAAAGCTGATTGGTCAGAAATACAGGTCATAACCTGGGGCTTGTGACTGAGGCAGTCTTGTGGTTTTGAACTCTTAAACTGTGGGATCCAATGCTATCTCCAAGTAGGTAGTGTCAAAAATAAATTGAATTAGGGGACACTCAGCTGTCCAATGGAGAATTGTTTGGGGTATGGGGAACATCCCCATACATCTGGTCACAGAAGCATTCTTTCTGTACTGAGAATATGAGTAGAGAGGGAAAAAAGTTCGTTTTCCCCCCCTTTTTTTTTTTTTCAGATGGAGTCTCACTCTGTCACCAGGCTGGAGTGCAGTGGCACAATCTCGGCTCACTACAACCTCTGCCTCTCAGGTTCAAGAGATTCTCCTGCCTCAGCCTTCCAAGTGGCTGGGACTATAGGTGCGTGCCACCAGGCCCAGCTAACTTTTGTATTTTTTTTTTTTTTCAGTACAGAAGGGATTTCATCATGTTGGCCAGGATGGTCTTGAGCTCTTTACCTCGTGATCCACTCGCCTCGACCTCCCAAAGTGCTGGGATTACAGATGTGAGCCACTGCGCCTGGCCTGTTTTTCCTCTTATAAGTGGTTCTTTCACTTCTGCCTTTGCCATTAAAAAACAAATGCTTTGGATGACTAGTGAAAATACAGAGAAAACCTGAATCCAACTCATAGAGTGGAGTCAAGTCCAGTTGAGCCCCACCTAACCTGAGCTGTACCCCAGTCAATCCATGAATATGTGAACAAGCAATAAATGCTCACCGTTGTAAGCTACGTAAGGCTTAGAACATGAGTGCCTCTTCTTGCAGCCTTACTGTGGAAATAGATGATGAACAGAGGTGCCACAAGACAGCTTGGATTCTGATAACCCACCCTTTCATTTAACCTATCCTGGCTTTTTTTTAAACTTGCATTTAGAGGGCCATAATTAATATGATCATTCTACTGCTTTGATCAATTTACTTGCTTTTAAAATCAAAGTAGCACAGCCAACTAAAGAGAAAAATCCGCTTCTATCATGTTTTGCATCTTACCATTTTCTTGTCTGAAGAGAATCCAACTGCCACCCAACCATCTGTGTCTGCACTCAGCTCAAATTCTACATCGGCCCCTATCATCCGGTAGCTGAGGAAATAGTCACAGGTCTCTGCATTACAGCCTGGTTTGCCATATCTAGAAGATATATCGAAAGAGACATTACTGCTTCTACTTACTCGAAATATATTAAGAGAGCATCTACCACATTATCAGGTGGGATGCTAAGCAATATTATTAAACACATTGAATTTTTTGCTACCTGGGATCTTAAAAACACAGTTTCACTTTCTTAGGAGGAAACTTGGAGATGATCTGTCCCATTTTATACACAAGAACTGCAGTTCTGAGATGGGAAGGGGCTTGCCTGTGGTTGTATAGTGAAGTCAGTGGTTGCAACAGGACTTGAACCTGGGTCTCCAAACTCCTAGCCAGAGTTCTTTATATTATATCAATATCATAGTCTTTTAAATATTTGTTACTACTGAATTATTTCTGAATCCCCTTTAATGGAAAAAGATTCTCCAAGTTAACCATTTAAATAGTTTCTCCTAATTAAATGTATACCAACTCTTTTCAACTTACAAATTTTCACATAATCAAACTAACACAAATTTACAAATTCAATATAAATTAAACTAATAAACCAGGAACATTGAAATTCACAACACTTATGCAACAGATAAAGGGGCTTTACTGAAAGTAAATTTCTGCTTATGTGTGTGTGGCATCTGACTAGATCATGCAGCATCTTTGAAGTTGAGAGCATGTTCTTACTACTCTCTATAGCATGATGGCTCAACTCTTCACTTTTATCTGTTTGAACTGCTGCAAAACCCTCATTTATGCAATACACCAAATGAATACCCCCATCTGGTACTCACGGACCATGAATAAATGTGTTGTTTATAAAATTTTATTTCTTTTTTTTTACACAGTGTCTTACTCTGTCACCCAGGCTGGAGTGCAGTGGCAGAATCTCAGCTCACTGCAACCTCCACCTCGTGGGTTTAAGTGATTCTCCTACCTCAGCCTCCTAAGTAGTGGGGACTACAGGCTCCCGCATCACACCTGGCTAGGTTTTGTATTTTTAGTAGAGACAGGGTTTCACCATGTTGGCCAGGGTGATCTCGAACTCCTGACCTCAGGACATTCACCTGCCTCCGCCTCCCAAAGTGCTGGGATTACAGGCATGAGCCAGTGGGCTTGGCCTTATTTATAAAATTTGCCTTTGTTCTGTTGGGCTACTTGCTGCTAACATGATTACAAATTCAGACACTAAAACATACAACGATATAAGGTGGTTATCTAGATAGTGGGATTACGCAGACATTAATGGTTTTTAGAGAGCACTACTGAAATGAAAACACAAATTTAAATTTTCTTACAGAGGACTTGTGGATCCTTTCAGAACTGGCAAGCCCTAGTTTGAGGAACACTGTATTATACCATTTGCAAAATGCTAGGAAGTTTAAGCAATGGGTGGGACAATCTATGCGCAGATGGAAGGTATCTGAAGGAACAGGGCACGGAGGTGCTGCGTTGAGGAGGGGACAGAAATGTGCAACTATCCTGGCAGAGATATCCGAGCAGTCAGGAAGAGATATAGGATCAAGGCAACAGGGCACTGGGGTAAAAAAGATGAAAAAGAGCAAGGGAAGATAAAAAAGGAGTGAATGGACAAGATATCATGTCACTTTGAAGCTGGTAGAGAGGTAATTCCCTCCCTTCTCAAAACATCCCCCAATCACCAGATTTATACATTGCTGACCATCTTCCGCAATAAGAATATTATTGTATATTTTTATTTATTCCTTAGAAATGGCCTTGTAATCCAAAGAAACCTCAAAGCCCGTGTATTCAATTTTTATTCCTTAGACCTTGGGTACTGAACAACAGCAAAATCAGGACCTTTGGGTTAGTGACCATCAAAACTTTGCCCCTGATCATCAAATTGCCCTTGACCATCAAGTTACTCAGGGCAATTTGTTTTAGAAAGTAAAGGGTTCAAAGGAAGAGACTTTTCCAAAGAAGCAGAGCTGTCTAGAAGGGAGGCCCATTGTACACACGACTGTTTTCTAGCCCAGACTGTCATGTAGTGATACTACTAATGATGTAGAGACTCATCACACCTGAGATAACAAGCTAGCAACAATGAATGCTTAATGACTAGCTAGAATCATACAGATATCCATAGGTCATGGCTACTTACTAGAAAAGGAATTGGGTATTAAACATGTCTATCATTGCCTTTGCACAGCCCCTGCTGCATAAGCATGGACATGTTCTGTGTCACATGAGTCTTCTGCATATCACCAATTGGTGAGTAGGAAACACCAGGACCAATGGTGGTACAGCTAGAAAGAACCATGGAAGAATGGTCCAGGGCCCAGGATATGCTAAAGCTAAAAGGCCTTTAAGACTGAAAAGTGGGATGGCCATTAGAAAACTTCCTAATCCTCCTGAGGTGATGAAGAAGCCCAGGCCCCCTGAGTAGAAGGAATGGCATGCAATTTAAATACTACCCTGAGAAGTGAACCAGTCTTAGCCTTAAAGTTACCCAACCTGCGGTTCCACCAACCTAAAGCATCCCTTAGTTTTTCCACAGTCGTCCACTTTGATTTTGGCAAATGGATCCACAGGAGGAGCAGTAGGGAAGGGGTAACCTGGGCAGTGAGAATAAAGAAGGGTTAGAAAATCCAGTAACAACTGTTCCAATGAGAACTTTTAAAATTGTGTTGACTATTTTTTTTCTCATGCATATCAAGAAATGTCTGGGGACTCAGAAAAGGGCTTTGATTAAGCCTAATCATCCCCTTCATGGTGTGTGTAGGCCACACACCTTCGGACCTAACCTTGCATGTGAACTCAGAGTAGGTGTGCCCTTTTCTCACTTTACAGGCAAGCGACCTTGGACACTGAGAAAGGCTACAATTTCATATAACCACGGGCTTACCACTGTCCCCAGGAGTTTGAGAATCACACTTTTAATATAATATACACGCTCTAAGAGAAAGAAGTTAACAATGATACGTTTTTATACCTGATTGTAGAGTTTTTCCGTTTGTATACTTGATCATAGGATTTTTCCATTCCATTTTAACTTCCATTTTGCATTAAGCTGTAGGTAACATTTTCTTATGTTACTAAATTCTCTGTTTTTTGTTTTTGTTGTTGTTTTTGAGACAGAGTCTCACTCTGTCACCCAGGTTGGAGCACAGTTGTGCCATCCTGGCTTACTGCAACCTCTGCCTCACACGGTCAAGCAATTCTCTTGCCTCAGCCTCCCAAGTAGCTGGGATTACAGGTGGCTGCCATCACACTCGGCAATTTTTGTATTTTTAGTAGAGACAGGGTTTCACCATATTGTCTAGGCTGGTCTTGAACTCCTGACCTCAAGTGATCCACCTGCCTCAGCCTCCCAAAGTACCGGGACTATAGATGTGAGCCACCCCACCCAGCTTGTTGCTAAATTCTTTAAACTCATCATTTCTAACAGTTATCTATCTTATATGATTACTTACCACTATAATGCATCAAACCATATATTGAAGGGTAAGACTGCATTATGCTTCCACTTTGTAAGAGAAATCTTTTCTCCTAGGCTCTTTATTCCATGTACACAGGAATCATGTACAACTTATCTTGTATTCTCTGCCCAGCATAGTGCTTGGCACAGGACACTGAGTAAATGATTTTCAAATGAATAAATAAAATCACTCACAGACATTAGGAAATGTAAATTAGTACAACTTATTATTCTATTTTATGAGTTTTTTTCTTGTTATTTTGGTTTTCTTCTTTGGGATTTATAATTTTTTAAAGTGAGGTTTTGCTAATTTTGTCTATTAGATTTATTATACTTTTTAAAAAGCCACGATGTCGTACTTTTCTGGCACACTTCTGTGCATGGTGAATAGTCAATTTCTACTACCCTTAACTTTGATCACATGATAAAGAACAGCCCTAACCGTTCACCATCTAAGTAGTTGGGTCAAATGCATTACTTTTTCTAGTTTTATGCTTATTTATTTATTTATTTTGAGATGGAGTCTCACTCTGTTACCCAGGCTGGAGTGCAGTGGCACAATCTCAGCTCACCATAGCCTCCACCTCCTGGGTTCAAGGGATTCTCTTCCCTCAGCCTCCTGAATACCTGGGATTACAGGTGCCCGCGACAATGCCAGACGAATTTTGTATTTTTAGTAGAGACAGGGTTTCACCATGTTGGTCAGGCTGGTCTCGAACTCCTGACCTCAGGTGATCCACCCACCTCAGCCTCCCAAAGTGCTGGGATTACAGGCGTGAGCCACTGCACTGGTCATTTTATGCTTATTTTACGCTAAGTCCTATATCTGCTTCAGTACTATAAACCAGGGGTCCCCAGTATCCAGGCCACTGACCAGTCCATGGCCTGTTAGGAACTAGGCCACACAGCAGGAGGTAAGTGGCAGGCAAGCAAGCAAGGCTTGCTTTGTATTTACAGCTACTCCCCATGGCTTGCATACCTGCCTGAGTCAGGTCACTAGTGATATTAGATTCTCAAAGGAATGTGATCCCTGTTGTGAACTGCACATGAGAGGGATGCAACCTGCATGCTCCTTATGAGAATCAAATGCCTAATGATCTGTCACTGTCTCCCATCACCCCCAGATGGGACCTTCTAGTTACAGGAAAAGAAGCTCAGGTTTCCCGCTGATTCTACTTTATGGTGAGTTGTATAATTATTTCATTAGATAGTATAATGCCATAATAATAGACATAAAGTTCACAGTAAATATAATGTACTTGAATCATAACAAAACCATCTCCTTGACCTAGTCCATGGAAAAATTATCTTCCACTAAACCAGTCCCTGGTGCCAAAAGGTTGGGGACCGCTGCCATAGACTGAGTCCTGACTTGAATGAGTTGTTTTTTTTTCTCAAAATAGTTACTGAGCCACTACAAACTACTGTATGTTAAGCATCTTCTATACCTTCTTTCTCTTACTTCTCACTACAACCCTCAGACCATTTTTCTCAGAATATTTATCCAGGAATTCAATGATTGTTCACTTACATGATTTGGAAATTCTATAGTTCACTGACAAAGACAATCTCTTTTAATGTTGCATCTGACTCAGGTTCTCCATATTCTTCCATTTTCAGACATATCATCCTCACTACTTCCTGGCATCTAGAATAATACATTAGCATACAGCAGATTTTCAGCTCAATAAATCCTAGTTATTATTACTTCTGGATTATTAACACTATTAAATTTCATAAACTGGCCTGAGAAATAATAACTATGGAGTACAACTGTCTCTTTAAGAACAACAGGTTTCTAAATTCCAGACAAAAGCAAATTTTGGAACAAAGCTCACTTACATTCTGAACCAGTTTATTCATGTTGGCAAATGGCTTCCCAGGGCTTTCTAGCACTAATTTTCTATTACGTATGCTTCTAAAACTTGTAATGGGAATTTGTGTTCTGTCAAATGCACTTGGACATGCCTTTAATAACATATTTTCCTTTTATATTGCAAACTGTTGAAAAATAAATAATTTGGCCTTTGTCCCTGGTTCCTAGGAGAGAAACTCTAAATCCTTGGAATTTCCTGAATGTTTTGTTCTTCATGGGCCCCTTGGATCAAATCTGAGTTTATGCTGAGTGATCAGATGACTCAGAATAGAGGCTGGTCACTGGAAAGACCATGTTGATTGGAAGGTTGGGGCTTTGTGCTAGGTTAGGGGGTTGGAGATTGATTTTAATCATGTGCCCAATGATTAAATCAATCATGCTAACATAACGAGACCCCAATAAAAACTCTGGACACTGAAACACACTGCAGCTTCCTGGTTGAACACATTGATGTGCTGGAAGGGCAATGTGCTGATTCCACGAGGAGAAGGCATGGAAACTCTGCCTTTGGGAGCCTCTCAGACCTCTTCCTATGTGTCTTCTCACTGACTGTTCCTGAGTTGTATCATTTATAATAAAACTGTCATAGTAAAAATAGCACAATTCTGAGTTCTGTGAAACATTCTAGCAAATAATAGAATCTGAAGTGGGAAGCTTCTTCTATCTTGTGGGAAGACCCTGCACTTATAGCCATTTGGTCTAAGGTGTGGACAGTCTTATTGTGAACTGTGCCCTTTCACTTGTGGGAGCTGTACTAATTCTGGGTCATTAGTGTAGGAACTGAATTGCAGTACACCAGTGGGGAGTTGATATTGGAATATAAGCAGAGCAGAATTCGATTTTTTTTCCTGAAATTAAATGATCTCTATTTGGCATGAAATGAGTTTAGACCACATGCCAATATTTAAGCTCTTGTCTCTCAGCTACAACCCAGGCTTCTATATGCTGAGTACTCTGCAAACCACTTTCCTTTGCCAGGTGCTTAGACTCTGCCAATAGCAAGCATTAGAGGGAGGCAGGAGGAGGGAAAGAATACTGTTCCTTCCTGTGTGATTGCTGTTCCAGTAAGCAAGTTCTCAGCAACTCTACTTCATCCTGGCAGTTGGTCTGAGTTCCCAGCTTTGTGCTAGGCTCCCAGAACCAGCCTTATCCCATGCTGCTCCAAGGTATTAGCAGCAGCTGAGCACAGCCTCATTCTCAAAGGATGGGTCACAGCTCTGAGAGGCCCTGGTCTGAGCCCTTTTGATAAACCCAAGCCCTTCTCTTTGCAACTTCAGCCCCAGGGGTGGTAACTTTCCTGAAGGTATTTTCTGTATGTTACCTTGGTGCTCCCTTTTTGCTTCTCCAGTCCCTCAACTTCTAACTTAGACAAATCCCTGGGCTGGTCTTTTGTTTAAACAGCTAGTATGATTTCTGTCTTTCTTTCTGGACTTTGATTGATACAGACTAAATAGATTAACTTTTGAATACTGATATAATGTGTTTGCCAAAACTGTAGCTTATTAGTACTTATCTGAAGGCTAGAAAACAAAGACATTCAATAGGATCTATGTTTTACACGCATTATACAATTCTAATGGGAAATCACTTTGATTGCAGAATTCTAAGTAGCCTAGGTGCACATAATTAAATTGGTATTTCTTGATTTATGGAACACTCACTATCAGTCTATGCAAAGTCCATCTTAGATTTTTTTCCCCCCAATCTATCACTAAACTCATTTTCTTCCCCAGCTTAGACACCAGGTCCAGTGAATTTTATGCATATCCTTCTGCCAAGCATGGAAGTTTCAACAAAAAGTGAACACTCCAACACATCTTAGAAAAGCAATCTTTTACTACGGTAAACTGAAAGGACACATTAGCAATAATGGACACCAGACAATTTGGTGTTAGGGGTAAGGTTCTCATCTCAGTCCACTCCATGTAGCATGGAATTCTGCCTGTCCATGGTAAAGTCCTGCCAGGTTGCAAAAAGTATTTCATATTCCCAAGATCATCATCCTGAAACTCTTGCATGATTACCTTACAAGATAACTACCAAACTGCCTTCAGCAGAGCCTGGATGTAAGGTTTGGTTTCCAGGCACAATTTCTCACTCTGCCAACAGCACCCCTTGCCATGCTGCCCACAGCTGCACTGCATTAGCCTGTTTATGGCCATGCACAAAGTCTGGAAATGCTCAAACAGAGCAGACCAGCGAGGGCCCACTGCAACTTACTGTTCATTTCCATGTTTATTTTTACATAGGTGTGCTCTTAA